TGACAGGCGAGATGTGTCCAGCAAATTTCTCCAGCGGCACTGGTTTTCCTGCTCCCAAACTTGAGCCTCTTGCTCCACTTGTGCTGCTTCAAGATACTTCTTTTTTTGCTTCAGCGCCGTGTGTTGCTTTGTGTGTTGCTTCTACATTGTGTGTTTCTACCGTTACTTCGTCGTAGGCTGAGCATTGAGTAAAGTCGCTATGCGAGGATGCCTCGGGTGTATCTTTCAGCTTGTCTTGAACTGACTGAAACGACGCTATCCCACGGCTGAAGGCTTCATCAAGCTTCGCCATTTATGTCATGTTCCAACGTGGCCGAATACTCGAAGCCGGCATTTTTGCAAACTGGTGGTTTTGCGCGGCGATATACATCAAGTGCTGGCAAGGTAGATGGTGGGTGCAATAGAATAGGCAGGAACAGCTCCACTCGAAGTCGTTACATTGGAAAATGGTTCCTGGCGTACTTATTTCCCATTGACCCACGTCACTTAGTCGTTTGGCAAATGTGTTCTGAGCCAAAATCTCCATTAAAAAATCCCACTGGTCCCGCACTTTTATTAGCGTGTCGTGGCACATGTCTTTTGCGAAAAGAGAAAGAACTTGTGGACCCGAACTGGTTGGCGATTGGTAATTGGGTGCTTGCGCATGGCAGCGATCTGCTGTCGAATAACCGTTGGTGTGTCAATAGGTCACTAATCGTGAAGTCAATTGCGATTTATTCCCAAGGAGCCGTTTAGCTGATTTATAATTAGACTCGATGCGGTTGGTCGTCGTATTCCCAGCGGTGACGAATTTTCAGCGAGTGTCGTTTGCCCACACGGGACTACATGTTTTCCGGTTTTCTTAAGAATACTCCAGCAGCTTGGGGCACTCTTCTTCACACCTCCGAGTAAACACGTCTACTTCAGCGTCAAACCTAGACTGTGATTTGCTGGAGACACTGGTAATAAATAAAATAAGCAACACAGAAAGCAACACAACATTAAACGTTATTGCTAATAAATCAACTTCGCAAAGGCAGCCTCCATCGCTTCTCGTTGAGCCATCTTTAGATCATATTTGGGACGTCGGCAGACCTTCCGCCAATATGTCAACGCGTGAAATTGACACATAAGTATCTTAGCGTCCGGGAAAGCTTTCTCGAGAACCCGTCATTCGACAAAGTCCTTATCGATGACGACACTTTGAACAATGCGCCAAGTCGGGTTTTTCGCTTGAAAATCTCAATGATGTACTTCATCGTAGCTGCCTTCTACAAGAGCAAGGAAACTAATTACTGGAATCCTTCTTCCCGTTGCTGAGCTGCAACAAGACTGCCTATAGAACGGCGACACATTTCGTTATTTTTTCATGTTATCTTCATCAGAAGTAAAAACAACTAAATTGAACATACATAAATTATACCCCAGATTGTTGGTTCCATGTGTCCAGTCCATGACCAGTTTTCGAAGATGTCTTCTGAATTGACGATTGCATCGCAATGATACAAGTAATCTCAAGCTGATCCTGGACGAGAAGTACATCATTACCACTATCCTCGTCGACAAAACTGTCCATGTGTTAACCTTAGATCTCTCAGTACTCGACTAGCCGAGCACTTGTCACACAAGATTTCACGTCAGTGAGGCGTAAGCACCATATCTGTATCCGAACTCATTTTAAAATTATCGTCAAATTGACAAAATACGTCAGGAAAAATACAACTGCAAGTGGCGTAATAGTAGCACCCATCGAGCTTTTCCGACATGTATCGATTAGTATCAGCCGTGCGCGACTTCATCTGGTTAAAAGACCAAGTTCTTGGTGGACTTGCGGGGTGCGTGGCATTGACTTCGCCCGACGATACGAGTCGTAGATGGTTTTATTGGTGTGTAGCGATATCTGTGAATCAATCAGATATTGATATCGCTTAGAAGCCGGGCAACTAATTTGAGACCCACCTCCGTTCCTTGTGCAACGATCACTTGCCATGTGGCTTGACCATACACGACGACACGCTCAGCCCGTACGAGGAAGCCTGCTTCACATCCGGTAAAGCGTGAATCGTAGTCACGGCAGCCTTCGCCGCGTGAATCTTGTGACGATCCGTGAGTGGTAACACAAGTAATTCTTCGCAGCGTAATCCGTAAGTATGTCATTGAACTCACTCCAGTCTTAGAATGCTTTCTTTGGAAGCTCCGGTACATACTTAGTCACTGATGTGTGGGACTTCTCCATGGTTTCCCGAAGTTGCCAAGTTTTTGTTCGACGTGTAGACTTGCGAGCTGTGTGGACTTGCGAAATCGGCTTGTAAACGGGATCTGTACTTTTGCTAGTCTTACTAGCTGTCGGGTCTATACTCATTTCTGGCTCGTCGATCTGGGAGCGGGCCTGTTTTTTGTGTGTGCTTTCTTTTAGATCTCGAGCCTTAAATAATAAAGCAAAAATATTTGTAGCAACATATGCAGCAACATAGTCAGCAACATTCGCAGCACGTAACCAACAACATACGCAG